CTTTCCCGTTTCCGTGGAGTTTTCCCCTCTTCGCTCGCGCGTCTCTAGGATCCGGTTGGGGAAAAAAAAGAGAACGAAAAGTTGGAAAAGCGGAAAAAGTGAGAACGGCACCCTCGGGACCTGAACTAAACTCGACGGTTCGCGTTCCTTCAAACGTATTACATTCGTAATCATTTTCCCACCGTGATGTATCGCCGCGCGTAACTACCGTGGCATTAAGAATCCCGAGAATGGATTATTATAATTGTCTCGTTCCTTAAACGAGGAGACGTCGAGCGTGGAACTCGACGGGAAACTACCCGGTATTTCGTCGTCGTCGTCGATTTTCGCTCACCGTTTGAACGCGCCCGCGCGCTTGTTCGGGGAAACGTTGAATTCATAATCGGATTCGACGTGGCCACTAAAACGAAGGTACAGTCACCGCGGCGACAAACAAATTGCGTTTACGCAACGAATTTAATAGCAGAAAAATCTGCTGGGGAAGAAGCGTACGCCGCGGGAGCGTTTGCTCGCGAAACCGTGGCGAACGCGGTAATGAAGTTTACACCGAATCGAGTTACGCCGCTTCGCATTTTACGATTAAAATCCACAATTTGCATTCCGAACTACTCGACGGTGTAGTTCCCCTCGAATTGGCCGGTGTTCCGCGGGATTCTTTTGTATTTTATTTGCGAGTTTCATCGTCCTATGTACTTTAACTCGACACCGGCAGAATGATTTTCCAACGTTGGAGCTGCAACGTATCTTTCAACGCTATTATCTGTCACACTATTATCAACTTAGTTGCCTTATTAAACATATTTATTTCGCATCGGTTGTCCTGTATGTTACGATTGTTTTTTAGTCGTTCAGAAGCGTCAGTCACCAGTGGCTGACATGGCGCTTAACGCGTTAACGCGAATCGAGGTATCGGAGAGAAAGAGGAGTCTCTTTTGCGCCGGTTGACTCGGAACGGCTCCGAAACAGTCGCGGCAGACGCGCGTGCCTGCCCCGGCACGAATCCGAGCCTCATTCTGTCCGAGGAATTTCGTAATTACTCGAATCTCGGGCGAACGTTTAGGCTCTCGCGCGGGGGATCGATCCCGCTGATTGCTTTGTGCGAGAACCCTGAAATCTCGTGGCCACGAAATATTGTTCGGTAAAGGGAACTGGGTGTAGCCCCTCGGCCGAGCATAAATTCCTTAATTAGCGGGTTGCGCGGCTACAGCCGGCTCTCTATTCACGTGTGTTTGAATACACCGTTGCGACGGTCGCCGACGTGTCCGTGGCTTTTTACACGCGAAACCGGGACCTTTGACGCGAGCGTCGAAACGCGATTTCGTTTCGTACGCGTGCGGCCGTGCATTAACGACAGTGCTCCTTCGTTTCCTGATACGCTGCGTATCGAGTGGAAGGCAAAGATTAACGCGAACACCCCTTTAACTCTTGAAATTCGATTGGATATTTATGGCAGATTGAACCTTTTGGATTCCGAGCAGTCGAGCTATGGGTAACTGTATCGGTGATCAACTTGAAAGTCCTTGTATGTTTTGTTAGATTTTTTAATTGTGCGATGATCAATGTGGGATTACGAAGGTTTGACACTGGAACTACCGAGCATTTAATACGATTAATATGCAATTCCTACAAAAATTGTAACGATAGATTATTTTCAGTTTCTTCAGACACTCATTATAGTACTCAAATGAAAGTGTTTATCTTCAAAATCATTTCAAAATAATATCAATTATTGCTAAACAAACAAATCGAGTCATTTTGACTGGTACGGTAGTTCTAGTGTTAATTAGAAAAATTAACGCGCAAGTTAACGAACTCTTCGTTTAATTTCCATTGAGGACAACTGAATCGCGAAGGGACAGCGTCTCTGATTTTGTTTCTAGCCGGCTGGCCCGTAAAAATGGCGAACTTCCGGTTAAAGGTCCGCGGTCGACCGGTCGGAGAAGCGACCGGGAAGATTTTCCCGCGGAAAGATGAGAGACCGAAAGGAAACGATTCGAAAAGAAAGAAAAACGGTGGAAACGTCGGTCGAGAATTCCATTTATCCGATAAACCGCGAGACGTCTGATCAATTCGAGCTCGCGCTACTGCCGCGCGGCTTCGGTGAATCCCCTTCCGCTAGAGTGTATTTCCTTTTACACGAGATTCGTCTGTGACACGGTGATACGGTGCCGCGCGCGGAAAAAAAGGGAATCGAACGGGTAAAATAAAATTTTCGTTTGCATCGTGTGCCAGAGGAAGGCTGGTTTCCGCTGGATTTCACAGCGAACGATCGATATTCGCGTTTCCGTGACGTCTCGAAATACAGTGGGCGTCCGAAACTTCCCATCGTTTTTAGTGCCATTCTTAGACAATAAAGGCTTTCAGAAATTCAAGGAATCAACATCTATTCTTCGTAGATATTTTTTTGGGAATAATCAGTCATGTTCAAAGGTTTTCGGAATGTTTCGAAAAGATGCTTGTTTTCTATTATAATAATAATTGAACATATCACACTTAGTAATTTGTGACCATACCCTTTCCACGATTGAAAGCACATCAACGTGGCCTGAACTCAAAACTGCTGAGTCTCTATTTCTAAAACGCATTTCAAATGAAGTATCCTAATAGAGTCACCGATGAAAAAAATGCAAGAGAAATTCGGAGTGCAAAGGGTCAATGATTCCGTTCCAACCAGAATGCGAACATTCCTCGCATCCCAAGGAATTACGAACAAATCCCTGAACATCTGTCAACTTAACGTTCCGCGGAAATTTCGCGAAATATCCTTCGACGAACTCATCCGTTAATCGATACACCTCGAATTCCAAGCGTCGGCAACGCGAACCCGTGAAACGGATCTCGTCAGTAATGATAATAAAATCTTAAGCTCCTCGTTCGCGGTTATAAAATAGGATCGTGTAACTGGTTAAAAAGGAAATCGTCACTCGTTATTTGTTACCGCGTGCGCGCGGAGTGCACTCGGCAATTAGCGACCTAATTAATGTCGTTAATTAAGTTCAAGTATCGATGTCGCGTAACGGGACGGAGCGCAAATATTGAGAGTGCACCGTGCCGCGCGTTGCACGGTGGGACACCTTTCGGGGGGCCGGAAGCACACCGAACCGCACGCCGAGCTTCCCGGCGAACTTTCGAACGTCCGTTCTTTTCGCGGTGTAAACACGAGGGCGTTCCGAAGATCCCGTAACTGGGTTAACCCCGACGGAAATCGGGACGCTGCGCGTCCCGCTACAGAGCTGCCTCCGGGTCGTGCGAGGGGACCGCCGTTCCTTCTAACCGTATTTATTCATTCCGATTGTCCGCAAACCGTTCCCGAAACCAGAACGGGCCGCGATCAATTTTCAACCAAGTTATTCCATCTCGTTACGGATTTCAATCAAACAATAGCGCTCGCTCGTTCGAATTACCCGCCAAACTGTTTTCGAGACCGGAACGCAATTTGTTCGTTGAGTGATTTATTTCTGTTGCCGATTTTCGGGGATCGGAATGAATAGACTCGTGCGTTATAGAATATTCGTATGTTCGAGTAATTAACACTCAGCCAAACGAATTAGATCTCCCAGTTTCCAAGCAACGTATTGTCTTTTATTTATCTTTTTTGTTGTTCGGTAAGTCTTCGAGTGGAATTATTTGCAATTCAAGTATGCTTGTTTTAGAACAAAGTTTCTAACCGAATTAATTGAAGTTCAATTGAAGATAATGGAGGTTGTAGTTGTTCTTTTTAGGCGGTTGCCTAGGTAACACGGTGAATGACGAGCGGGTCACCGGTGACCCAGACCAAATCGAATTAGAATTCAGTCAATTAAACCATCGTTATTTGCGAATATTTTTATATCAGAAATAATGGTGTCTAATGCAGTAACATTTGGCAAAACATAAGCAAAATATATAATTTCTGTGACGGAACGTAACCTCTTGCAGTACAATGAGTGAGACTCGATGACGATTTCTAGACTAATTGAGCAGTAACCAATGTTGTTCATTACCCACGAATCAAAATATTTTGCTATTATCAATCATCTTCAAATGAAATTTCCACTTGAAGTAGAATGGACAATTTTGTTGCATTTCTAAATTGTTGATACTAAAATGTTACGTGAACTTCGGCGAAAGTAAATAGTCAAGGGGTTAAGTTACCGCCAAATCCTATCGGCAGCCATGACGAACAATTATCAATGGAAAAAATATTTTCTTAGATTTATCGAGTGTAAGTTATGTATATACGACATCTACGAAAGAATGACGTGATTACAGTAACGACGATACCGATCATTACACGAGAACCACGCCACCGTTGACGTTACGCAAAATCGACTCGATACGCGTGGCAGACTGCAGATAAAGTGCGAAGGACCGTTAGCATCAATTAATCGAAACGACGCATGATTGCCAGGCTTAGTAACAACAAGGCGCACCGATAGGTATCGTATTAAAGATTACTCACAACGGCGGCACCCGTTCGGCTCCCGAAACTGTTCCGTCACGTTGCACAGATATCGAATTGTCAGACACGTTCGCGGAGACTTCTCGGTTCCGAGGGGAAGAAACGTTCGGGCGGTACGAAGATTGGTAACTAGGTTAATCTTGATAGGTATGGAATTCCCTACGGGATTCCTAAATCAGCGGCGGGGTACTGCCAGCCGAGAACCGATAGATCGATAATCTCGCCGCGCCGTCCTATACCGAGGAGATCGAGAATCGAGAGAATCGAGAATCGCGGCAGCGTCGTGTACGATCGGCGTCGCACGATCACGCGGCTTTTCGCGACTTCACTCTTACGCCCCGGCGTTTCAAATGTTTCACAGTTTTCGCGGCATAAACACGAGGGCGTTCGAATTGCTCGCAACTAGGTTAACTCGAGCGTTCGCGTAACGGTGGCTTCGACACACACGACGGACAGAAAACAGAGACAGAAAGAGAGAGAAAGAAAGAGAGAGACAGAGGGACAGAGAGAGAGAGAGAGAGAGACACACACGAACGTGTGTTGTGTTTCGTTTACTCACCCGCGAGGCAGCTGATCGGGACAGGCGACGACGACGTCGACGGCGCCGATGACGATGGCGACGATGACAGGTTATAACCTTCGATTCCACCGTGATCGAGGCTACCACTCGACAGGTCGACACGTCGTGGTATCATACGCGATCGGTGAGAACGGTGCACGACGATAGAGGCTAGGACACACGGGTCCGTACGACCGCGGCGTTCTATCGACTCGAGCACGGGGGCTGCGGTATACAAACGACACTCACTGTTCGACGCGGGGCCTGCCAGCAAACGAAACGACAGACGACCGTACGATGACAACGACCAGCGACCACTTCGCAAAGGGTAGAAAACGTTTCCCTGCTTCCACCACCGACACCGCCCTCGCGCCTCGCCACACTCGCCGCGGCAACGCGCGTGCGCGACGCCGCCTTGATTCTGCGCATGCGTACCCCTCGCGTCACCCCGATCCCCACCGGGCTGCCCGCGATCGCAGCCGTATTAAATTTAGGGAAAAAATATTTTAAATACTGTTTCGAATATTACGTGCCGCGCGGCTCGCGCGAGGCTACGTTTCACGGAGGAAATTAAATAATGTTCCTCGACGGTGTATCATCAGCCAGCGACGGTAAATCGTATTTCCCGTTAACGAACCTGTACGCACGATTCGAAATAAAGTGTGACTGTTTACCGTTTGAAATAGCGTCTCGACGAACGCAGCCCGCCATACGGAGATCCCGTGCTCGGCCCGGAACTTCTCGTAAGCGCGTCGAATCACGCCACCGATGTTCCCGACAGGTTTCCGTCACCTTTGTCAAACTCCGGCTTCGCCAGCTTGATAAAGTTCCTGCTCGACGCGGTCGCACGCCGTTCACCCCGTCTTCGTTGCTCTAGCGAACAGGTAATTAGAGGTTAGAGTCGATTCGCGCGATCTCGGGGGGAAATTTAACGGTATCCGCTCACCTGTATCGTGGCATCGCCTCGAGCTTCTTGTTATAGAATCTCTGAAATCAGAGCACCGGTTATTACGAAGATTATTGAATCACCGAGACGGTAGAATTTTTGAAATTTCCACGAGAGATCACGAACGAATGTTGCTCGGCGGTTTTAGCGTTCGCGCATGCGCGCTAACTGTTTCGAGGCATCCGGTTTCTCCGAAAGAACCGATCCGGTGGATTTTGAAATTAAAAAAACCGACGCCTGAATGAAAATATTCTGTCTTTGTCCTTTCAGCGGAAATTTCCAGATTCAATCGGATAGAGACAAGTCATCGTTGAACTCCGCCGGCTTATCGCAAATGAAATCTGGTCGGGATTTTAAAAACGACGTCTCATCGGCTTCCGGCGACCGCGGGAATGCAAATTAGGTGTAATTTGAAGTTAGCGCGCGCAATGGCCGACCCGGTCTTTGCAGGACGTTATCTCGTCGGAGGTACTTCCGGGTCCGGGTGTATGAAAATTATTTCATTCGGGAGAATGACAGTAAAACGACAGGATGAAATTCTACGGCATATTAATTATCATTGCTTATCGTCGAACTGTAACCGTGCAGCGGTCCTAAACCTTCATCGAATGGGACTACCTTCGAATGAATTTCTCCTTTCAAAATGAATTTTGAATTCAAAACTGCTAATTGTATATCTATTTAGGTTCTACAAGACGCGTTGGAATGGAAATCCAAAGAAAATCCAAAGGAAATCCAACGAAAGTACAAGGAGAATTTCGATCAGGTCACGGATTTCAAGACTTCACGCCGAGTTCAAGGACGGAGCATCGTTCGTCGATGCGTCTAATGCTCGTTACGCCGAACGTTCGAAGGCGTGGTGACGTTTTCACGGGACGATACAGAAACGGCGGCGTGGCGAGTCGATCCCGAATCGACCCGCGAGACGAGAAGCCCTTCGTTAATGCAGATTCAATTAAAGTCCGTGAGCTACGAAAAAGTTTTCCAATCAGACCGGTACGTGCTCCGGTGAGCCTTTCTTTCCTCGTTGACTGGCCGGGGACAGGAGAGAGAAAGGGAGAGAGAGGGCCGACGGGACGAACGGAGAAGAACGTCGTCCAGTGTCCACAAGGATATCCTTCACCGATGAATTCTCCGGCTGGAGCTTTAACGCGGCGGGCTTTTCCATAAGTTGACTGCTTGACAGTTCTTCGCTCGACCTTCTCCGCGACTGTTCTTCCTCCGCTCGGACACTCGAAACTTCTTCGCTCGCCTGGAAACCGATACGACTAAGATTATTAATAATAAAATCGGGACGGTCGAGGGTCTCTCTAAAAGGGACTGCTAATTACACCGAGTGTCTCCGAGCTCCAAGCGCGATGGATTAAAAAATGTATCGGAATACTTCATTTCTTTCATTTCGCGAGGATTTCAGTAAAAGGTACGGTCCACGTTTTCTCGTGCTCTGTATTATCACGGTGGAAGGTATTCCTGAAGCTTTATTTTCATATTACTTTACTACGATTAACCGTTCTAGGCACAACTACGACTCCTATCATAGGAACGGCGACCACGACTCATTTCTTCGTAGAACAAGTCCACTGTTCTCGAAAAATCCTCCAAGCTTCCAGCGTGTTTCCTGAAAACCCTGTTGATTCTGAAGGGATTAGAAGCGAGTTAACCGTTTGCACTCGAAAGACTACCCTCAGTCGCATTCGATTCAAAGTCAAATTTTCTGTAACGTTTCCTTCGTCGCGTCCATTGCAATACGTGTCGATCTTACGGGGAACGACGGGCATCCGTAACGGAGAATGTTGTCGTGTGCGAACGATTAAAAATAGGGGATCCGAAGAGAGGAGTTCTACAAATCAATGCTAGAAAAATATTAGCTCGCGAAGTGGGGAGGTGGGGGCGGGGACTGTTATCGATGGCGGTTCCCCCAGGAAAGAGGCAGAAATTGCTAAGTACTGTGAAATTCCCTCGTAACAACGAGAGGGTATAAATACACGGCCGGCCGGCCGGGCAGGCGTCCCGACGCTCGTTTCCACGGGCAACGCGGGCCAATGGATCAAACCGTATCACGTGTTTTAAAGCTCCGCGAGAGCCCACCTTTATCGAGCAGCGTTTAGTCGCTGGCAAAGCGCGCCGTATCATGATTAGTTTTACAGCCGGCTGCCGCGACGTCTCCTTCGGCCATGAATTAAACATCGGCAGCCCGTCATCCACGAGATTTCTTTTATCGGAACTGCGGGTCGTTAGGTGAGACGCTAAAACCGATTACCACGCTTCACCCTCTGTAGCCCGAAGTCGCCTCTTGCCTCGAAAAAAATGTATGCACCGCGGGATCACACGTTCGCACTAACAATAGATTTACGGAGCCAATGCGACACGTGTTGAGATTTGTTAACATTATTTGGTAAATCTTTGGGTTGATTCTGATTGATTACGTGATTATGGTTCCTAAACATTTTTAACCCTTAGCACTCCAGGTTGTTTTGTCGGTCTATGGAGGGTGAATATTATTAGCCAGACTTTCTACAACGATATTCGGATTGTCAGTCGTCGATGATAAACGTCGTCATCGTATCTTGAACCGTTTTCGCCAATCGATTCGTACATTGTCGCATATCTGCCGCGAAGCGCAGCGGACGGGCAGCGAAATCTCGGAGAATAAAAACTGGAAAAGGAAAATACGGAACAGTAATTTCGTGATTCATGTATATGAATTCAAAGGCAAACACAGGGAACACCTGCTGCTGGCTGGAACATCTCCGATGCGCGTATCGCGAAAATCGAACCTCGCGGAATACGATGGATCCGTAAAGTTCTCCATATTCGGTTGCGTCTCTGTAAACGGAGGCACTGCCACGGGAAATAGAAGAAGCGGAAAGTTACGTAGAACCTCAGAAGTCGCTGATAAAACTTTATTATTTATTTATTAAACACCGCATAGACACACCATTCAAGGTTTCTCGCGTTCTTTTTAGACGTCCATTATGACGCCATATCGTTTTCGTCGCTGAAAACAACAAAATACACGATCTACACTATAAACAACAGTTTCGTGAGATTTCCATAGATATTTCAGTCTTCGCGTTCAAGATACGTCGACGTAAATTCCTTTCGAATGAAATTGTAACAGTTTCAGCCTGTTCACCGAGGAACAATGAACGGAAACATGAAAAGTCACTGGATGACACAGTGTAAACGGACGATCACCCGATGCTCACCGGTGAACGGGTTGAATTAATGCTCGACTCGCATTTCAAGTCAAGGTTCGAACCCACAGGGTACAGTGAAACGGCGAAAAAAGTTTCCCGATGGAAGCGAATGGCGTCTCGCAATTGTCCCCGCAAGAGCGGTCGACGGTTCTAGCCGCGCTCGAGGAGTACACGACCGCTCTGGCTATTTACCACAACGTCCTGGAAAAACCAGCGGAAGACGACAACGACATCGCCGACTGCCTTCTCTCCAGTATCGAGTACGTTGCGAACGTTAACACGACCGTTGTCGTATCGGTGATACGCGTGTTACACGATCCTTCGAGATTTAGAAACGAATTTTCACGGTAACACGCGGGGACAACTAAATTTAATATCCATGATCTCTTTGGAACATGTTCCTCGATTTCGGAGACCGATGGACGCGTGTAACGCTGGAACTACCGAACAACTGAAAATCGCCTATTTGAAAATATACTGATTAGAAGAAATGGTTATCGAGAAATGTGATTAAGAACTGAAACGTTCAGTAATTGCAGCGTTAAATGGGATCGAGCCTAACGTCCCGCGTCCGCGGAACGATTCGAACACGGACGCGGGAGGGAACGGGGAAAAAGAAAGAAAAACGGGAAGTCGAACGAGGAATGAGATTCTGTGTTGCATGTCTGTTCGCGTGGCAGTGACTCGGAACTGTCGGCTATGCAGCTCAGCCCCGGTGACGTCGCAAGAATCGAACAACTGAAGGAACAAGCTGCGTCTGCGAAACTTTACGAAGACAGGTGCGACGAGTCGGAACGTGCTGTGTTCGATTTCCCCGGGAATTCTTTTCGATTTCGAGCCCCCGCCGCGCGTAAATCAGGGTAACTTAATGTTATGCTACACCGCGGAGTCCTTGGATCGAACCTATCCAGATTTCGTGGAGCGACGAACGGTCCGATGCAATTGGCCCGAATTAAAGGAGAGCTCCTCGCGCGAATCGAAGAGAATCTCACGACCTGGAGCAGCGTTTCCTAAATTGTCGCGGCGAATCACCGACGAGTATCGTTCCCGAACCTATTAACGAGAGAAACACAGTATCTCAGTATTTTCAGTACTCTCATCCCCTTTCTTCCGTATTCCAGAAATATTCACAGTCAAATTCTTGTCGATCCACATGTACGTAAAATACTCGGGTAAATAAAAACGAATATGTCGTAAGATGAGAAATTTAGGAAACGCTGACCTCACGTGTGACGAAGGGAAATATGATTTCCGGCTGCCCGGAAGGGAAGCTTCGAATTTCAAAGAATGACGTGTTCAGTCTATACCTGAGGAAAATTATGGAAGACCTGAAGGAGGAGGTACGCGAGAAGGGAACGTTCGAGGTATTGACCAAGGAGGTCGAAAAATTGCTCGGCCACGAGAAAGAGGAGGAGGCGTTGCGAAACGAGAGCGAGAGGCTGAAGAACCTCGCAGAGGAGCTGCAGCGAACGATCGCCGACGAGAAGATCGCGAACGAGCAAGAGAAGAGGCGGATGCTGAACGAGCTGGCCGAGGAACAGGTAGCGTTTCCCACGGAATTTTCGATGATCCTAATGAAACGCGATAATCCCATGCACGCGTTAATACGCTTGAAGCGTGAAAAACCCGTGGAACGCTCGGGGCACCTATAATGCCGATAATCGAGTGCTAATACGAACATCCGAAAGAATTGAAATTAAAGCAACCAGTCGATTAATTTTTACAATTATTTAACACGTTAAGCGCCATGGAAATCTTGACCGTTTTACTTTGAATTTATTCTTTTGTAGCAAAGATTGCAATTGCTTTCTAGTTCAGAAGCATCATGGCGCTTAACACTAGAACTACCGATTTAATACGATTAATATGCAATTCCTATAAAAATTGTAACAATGGATTATTTTCAGTTTCTTCGAGCATTCATTATAGTGCTCAAATGAAACTATTTTCAAAATCATTTCGAATATTCGGTGCTTCGAAGATATCGATAATTGCTAAACAAAAGAATCGAAACCAGTCGTTCCGACTGGTACGGTAGTTAGCGAGAAAATTAAGAAACAAAGCTGTTTCGTTCGAATATTTCTTTCACATATTCCCACGATAACTTCTCTCGCCCCGATGTCTTTCACACATTTCCATCGATGCGTTCCGCGAAGCTTCGCGTTATATATAAGGCCTGATAATTCTCCCGCAACGCAAATGCGAAGGGTTGAAATTGAAGCTCGTTCCTCCGAACGATTCGCCGGCTACGCTCTCGCGGCGAGTGTATTTTTCATTCGCTGGGATATAGTAATTCCGCCCTTTTCAAACAACGCAGCGAGACACGGAGAAACTGAAATTAATTGCGGACGCGGAGCTGGATTATGTTACCGCCTGGGAAACGGCGAGATACGAGCAGAACGCCCTGCGCGCTAACATGGAAATAGAAAAGTTGGAGAAGGTATTAAACGAGTGCCGCGTGCGCGAAAAAAACGAGGAGCGCGTTCATATCGAGCGAACGAACTTTCTGATACGGGATACCGAGGTGAGTAGCCGCGCAATTTTCCACGGGAAATCTGTTCTCGTTCCGTCGCGCGTCACGCTTCGCGAAACGGCGAACGTTCGCCGATCTTGCCCAAACGAATCGTCGAGTATCCGAACGCGTCGCCATTAAAAGAAGCCTAACGATTCCAGAAACAAGCTAATTATTCGTCGGTGCACTCAATACGCGTATCGATTGGACACAGGAAATACAACTCGATATAAACTACAAATGTACGTGCTCTTTTCGACCGCGCAACCGGTCGAAACGAAATGTTGAATAAAGATTCGCCGAGAGTTCGTTTTCTTCTTTCTTCGGCAAATTCGTTCGCGGAAGTAATAAGTCCATGCGCATATTCATGCGCGCTCGGCGGTATCAAAGACTCTTTCATAAAGATGAGAGCGAAGGAAACAAGTGTTATTTTGTCAATTAATTAATCGAATCATCGCACCGCCGCGTTGCTTCTCCGAATGTTCTCTTACTCGGTGTTAAAACAGAGCGTTTTCAACCGGCTCGACCGATCGTGTTCGCCGGGCGACGGAGAGGACGGAAATCCCGCGACGAACCGAACGTAAGATGTACAGTGATTAGCTCGCTTCCCTTGATATATCGCAGTCGTTCGAGAAGAAGAGGAAGGAGTGGGAGGCGCGGTACATCCGGGAGAAGGAAATGTACGAGAAGGGGATCCGCCGGTTACGCATCGAGATAGCGGCTCGTCGAAAAGAACTGGAGGAACTTAAAGAAGAGGTACTCTAGCTTACCAAACAATGAACCTCTCCCCGTCGTTCCGCTCCCCCGACGCTCCTTCACCGCCGAAGCGAATCGCATTAAGCGAAATTCCTAACAAAGAGTTATCACTGCTCGGCAAACGAAAGTTTAACCTGTTGATACCGGGCGCGTTTAATCTTCCGATCGTTCGCGCCTAATGCATCGCTAAGAGCGTTCGAAAGTTCGTCCCTCGCGCCGCAAGAATGAACCGGCGAAGAATCGCGCTCGCGGCGGGTTGTCGTCGGTTGTAAGATACGAGATTGAATAGCATTTAACGTCGAGTTATCGGTGAATAGACGTTTGCGCTCGAGCGGCTGTCGTTCAATCGTTTATCTCGAAGGGAATTTCGAAATGTCGGACACTAACGGGAATCGATCGCGCACGTCACGGGGCGAAAAACTAACGGGCCGCACGCGTAAACGCAATCATCGTCTCATTAACAATTCGGCGTGAACCGGTGATTAACCGCATCACGTTAAGCCTATTGGAAATCAAGCTCTGTAGCTTGCTCCTGTAGGCTTAGAATCTCTACATGCAATGCGGAAATTCTGCAGGGAAATCGATAACTCGTGTCAAGAACCTGTTTGTGGCTATTCTAAATCACGTGGAATTCCTCGAGTGCGAACGGAACAGAGGGAAGGAGAGAGAGAGAGAGAGAGAGAGAGGGAGAGGAAAAAAAGAATTAATTCCGCGTCATGCGATCTCATAATTTCCACTCTTCCCGTGATCACGTCGCGAACGTGCACTGAAGAAATCTTTTATCCGATGTTCTTGTACCGATGTTCTGAAAAAGCGTTGAAACTTCAACGAAACTTCAACCCTCATTCGTCGGCGAGGAAAATCTACTAGAGTGTACCGTTGAAAACTATTCTAACTGTCGTAGCTTTCGAAATAATTGCCTAATTCCAATCTGTTCGAGCAGAGTTGATACAATTCGACGCCACTTATATTCGCCAACGTTAACAGCATAAATAACAACACGAAGTGGGAATAAAAATACGATCGAACTCGGAGGACTACGGTCACGTTCCTCGTCCATCCGTTTGCTCGTTTCCTCGGTTCCTGTTTTTATTTCCGCTCCCCACCCGCCGCAGTCACCCTTCCTCCGACTTCAATCACCGAATCGATGTTGCCGGCGGTGTTTAAACGGGACCCGTAACGCCGTTACAGTATCGCCATAAGCAGGAATTCATAGACACGTGTCTGGCGGAGAAAGAGGCGCTCAGGAAAGAGAAGGAACGAAGGGAGCACGAGCAAAAAAGCACCATCAGGATTCAAGCTTGGTGGCGAGGCGTCATGGTGCGCCGGAAGTTGGGGCCGTATCGACCCGAAGAAAAAAAGAAGAAGCGGCCTAAGAACAAGAAATAATTCAGTCTCAGTGAACTTTATGCAATCACTTTCAACGTTAATGAATTTTCATTTTCCCTCTTCGGCAACGATGCATGTTCTTTGAACCTATTCGACCTATTGCTTCATTGTTAACACTAGGTTTACTATCAAATCTCCAGTTTCCACAATCTAAATAAACGAGCATCAATTTTTTTAGGAATAATAGAATAAAGTGTACAATAAATGCCCGTAAACCTAGTGTTAACCCTTACTTAAGAGAACTAACGATTCCTTTGAATGACAGTTGCAAAAGAAATTGGAGCGTGCTCCTCGGGACGAGTCGACTATAATTCCTAAGACCATAGGAAAGTTTGTCAATCGTAAATCGTACGGCGTTCAACATGTTGAAGAACTCTTTAAGAAACGTAAAATGTACAAGTGATTCGGAGGTAAGCAGAAGGAAAAGGTGGATCCCACGTGAGACCACGATTCCTCTCGTTCACGGCGAGATACGAAGCTGAGGAACAGTCACCGGCGCAGTATTGTTCACGCAAGAAGCTCATTTCCCGTGCAGCACTTCCTGGGTATCCTGCGGTGGTCAGAAAAGCCGCGCGGTGCGCCCTAATAGTCCACGTGGGTCGCCGCCCGATGCCGCATGCAGCACGCAACACTCTGCGCATTCTCTTCGTGTCTTCGCGAAGTATACTGTAATATTACATCAACACTTTCTCTTCTTCCTTATCCTCGAACGGCAACGCCGACGCCGAGTCGTCATTTGAGGTCACGCTGAACTTTCGACGCGACCAAGTTCAAAAAGATATCTCGCTACTCAACTTTCGCCAGTCGGTTACAAAATGCAAGAAATTTACCAGTGACCCATTCTTAGAAATTTCTTAACACTTTTATGTCTTCTATTGCTTCTGCCCAGGTTTATACACATCTCCACGCTTCAAAATAGTTTACACCTATTTTTCGTAATAATAGGAATATTCAATCACTTAAGTAACTAACAAATGTACTGAGAATGGATCAAATGTTAAGATAAAATTAATGATGAAGTATACTGTCTCTCTTTCTCTCCTTGCGCCGAAAACGCGGGACTGTCATTCCAAAAGTTCCCTGTCGTTTCAAGTTCCTTTGGCAGGCAGCCACGCAACCTCGAATATCGCGTCAACTGTTCTTCCCTCGGTCATTTCCACCGAGTTCTTCTTCCTAGCAAAGAACCATATTAGGGCTAAAATAGAAGAAATACTTTAGGTCGACTGGTGGTTAACCCTATGTATACCCTTCGAGCATCTAAACCTCACAGAAATTGTTAAAATTATATAAACTCTATACTAAATTTCAATTTATTTTCATATTATTTTTTATCTACTGGGTAGCACCCTCTCTCGAAAAGCGAAGACATCGTGTGCGAAAATATTGGTACATTAACTAACATAGCTCAGAGACATGGTAAATCAATTCCAAGACGTTTGTATAAGTTAAAAACCAAAATCCTTATCAAAGTTTTGCCTCCCTCCAAACTGTCTGAACGTCCAATGGCACCCTTGGCAACAAATAGGTTACCATAACCTCCATCACCGAATATTACCATCTGAATTTTAAGCAAGAAATGAATTTTTAACTTTAAGTATCACGTGGATCAGATAGTTAACAGGCGAATACATTTTCTCCTCGCTGTGCATCGCAAGAATGGTAAATTTTTGAAGATCATTTTCGGACAGTCCCCGAACGTCCACGTGACACTGGTCATCATTTTGCCGAAGAGAAAGTTGCTGGCTAGGTGGCCGACAACGACGGACCGTGCATTTTCCTTCATGAGAAATTCAGGAACCTTCTAACCTACTCTGTTTGAAAGCATGCAAGCTCACCCCCGTGACCGTGCGGCCAGCCACCTCCTTAGATTACGATATAAGGAATGGCTAACGCGATGTGGCGGTGCACGCACCCGATAGTGCAGCCAGCATATATGCACCGTTTTCCTGACCCAGCTTTTATGCAGGCTACGTCGTAATTCATGGCACGACCGAACCGAACAGTGATTTCTCTTAATGAAAAACAGAACGCCCACGTAAAAATCTTTCCTTTCATGCACTCGGCCCCCGATGGAATATCGAAGCTGAAATAATTGGAGGCGGGGCATAATTACATCCGATAATTGTACCACTCGTGATATTTTACTGGAATCTGTAAGATTCTTATGGATTAATAGTCGAACGTGACCTAACCTCGCTGGAATGCTTTATTCGAGATCAGTTCTAGAAGTTAAAATGGAATTAATTTAATGAGAGCCATGAAACAATAAACAAAATTGTTGCTGAAAGTTATCAGATAATTGATCTATGTAATCTTTCTGGTAAAAAAAAATTAACTGATTATTGTGAATATTATTTTTCGATTTAACTTTGAAAATTCACGCTTATACGTTATGGGAGCCCTCGGTATTATCAGTCGCGACAACAAACCATAACCAGCAATCGATAACTATTCCAGGTCTATGGTAGTTATCCTTACCACAGAAAAATCAGAGATTTAGGCTGGGTTTAGAACACGCATAAATTCACTGGAAAGAAAACCATTTTTAAAGATAAAGTCAAGAGTCGTAAGTGGGCTCGTGATTTTCTCAGGCAAAATGTCAGAAACAAAGGAAAGAGAAACACAAGCAAACAGAAGCGGAATAGATGGATAGGAACGAGTAGAATGAACAAACCAGAACGAATGGAATGAGTGAACCGACACGAACGGAATCCGCTGGAACTGAGAATTGAAAAGCTCCCGCAAAAAAAAAATTGAATGTACGAAATTAATCGAGAATTTCGCTTCGAATTTAAATTGAACGTTCAAAGTTATCTTTTCAATACTCGTTCGTTCGGCAGGTAATATTTGATCATGCGTAGTTGAAGCATCGGTTATGCGTGTTACTGCACACATGTGAATTCGACTTTAAAATATCAAGATGCATTCTTTAGGAGCATACGTATTCTTCCAAGCTGCGTATCCGTAGCCCTCCGCATAGGAATGCATTATTGTTACACTTTCCATGTTTATCTTCGCGATTCTGGGTTAATCGCGAGACGAATTAAGAAGCACGAAACTAGAACGCAGCTAATAAGACGAGAATTGTATCGAAATGAAAAACGAATGACCGAGAAACTTACGAACGGAGAAAGTGAACACTCGCAAAAGGAAGAGACTTGAATTTAGAGAACAGTGTTCCGCGAACACCGAGTCGAGGAATTAATTAGAAGTTCGAGCATCGAAAGAAAAATTCAGTAAAAGCATCGAGAATAAATCACACTACGATTTGTTTTTAAACATTTTTTCGATTGTTACCTAAAATCGAAGCTTTGCTCGCTTATAAGAAAAAAAATTTGAATATCCAATTACTCTGTAAACGTATTCAAGAAACATACGACGAACAAATACTTTTGCCTACCATAAATGATGTTTAAGTACATATTGACTGTTAGATCGTTGGTTCTCTTGGCACGTGTTCAGTCGAGAAATTTAAGAGATCGAAAGAGATTTCACGCTTGTTCGTTATTTCGAACGTTAATATTCTATTAATTCGTTGTTTCGAAATACAACCTAAGAAGAAAACTTTACAATGTAACCTAACCTTATTTGAACTGAACACGTACCTAACCTATTTAATAGAAGATATTTTGGACATGTACCACCACGAGGCGCTGCGATTCGTCGTACAATCAAACATATTTAACCATTCTTTCGAAAGTTTTCGAATAAAACGATAAGAATCTCTGATATGAATGCATCGGTCCGTATGGAAGAAACATGTTTAAGCGTGTAAACCGATTTTTTTCACCGCCGAAAACTATTTAGAACGATAAGAAAAATTGCATTAGGAATGGCGCCAAGGTGTCGCCATTTTCATGAAACTTTACCAAGACGGTAAATCGAGAAGGCTGTGGAGAGGAAGAATTCCTAAAAGGGAGTGTGCGTGTCGGAAAACTAGAGGAAAAATTACGAAAAAGCAAGAATAATGTACTGGCCGTAAGTATATTGTCCTTCCGTGCTATTTTTCAACGATTTGATTCAGTTTCGACCACAAAACACGGGGCCTATGGCATGGGACTTCCGTTTAATGAACAGGAACAGGAAGTTCCTCACAATCTGAAATGGCAAAATAAAAACATCCTGTACCGAGGAAAATTTCGAAAAATACACATGTTACGTTTTTGAGCAAGTAGGCAAAACCAACTAGATCGCGTTGATACCGTTGAATTCGACTCGAATTTTAATTTTTTCCGACCTACTTTCGATTCCGGTAACTCAAGGTCGTGCAACAGTAAGACAGAATTGTTCAAAGTGAAAAATGGAATGGTCACAGTTAGCCGTATTTAGTTTGAGAAAAACCTCGACTTCAATGATTATTATGGATCATTTGATTTTAGTGTGTATCAAAAAGAACGGGACTGAGTTCAATACACAAAAATGCAAGCTGAAAGTATTTGTACTAATGATATTGAGGGTCTGGACCCGGATACTCTTATTCCTGTACGTACAAAGATTTCATTACGGTATGCCTTATTATTTAATGGTTTTAAGGGATGTTTAAGCTACGAATTATTTTCTCAGGTCGAAATTCTTTCTTGTGACGTTTCTCATCGTGCAAGATCCCAAGATGCCTTATCGATAGTAGAACTAGGAAAGCAACTGCTTTTTAGCGCAAAGTATGGAGACACTGATAATGTTCGTGACCTAATGTGCAGAGGAGCGCCGTTTACTACAGACTGGGTATACATTTTAATAATAAACTGGTTATTTACGAAATAATGACTGTATGATAAGACAATATTGATTGTATCTTTTTCAGTTGGGTACTAGCGCGTTGCACTTTGCTGCACAAAATAATCATACAGAAACTGCAGAAGTTTTACTGAGAGCAGGAATTTCAAGGGATGCGAGAACAAAAGTAGATAGAACACCTTTGCATATGGCTGCATATGAAGGCCATCACCAGATAGCACAATTACTTCTTAGTTATGGTGCAGACGTTGACAGTAGAGATATGGTAATTAAAATAAGAATTATATAAATGAAATTGATTTACAATATACATTATAAAGACAATGTTTGCAGTTAAAAATGACTCCCTTGCATTGGGCAGTTGAAAGGGAACACGTAGAAGTAATGCATGTTTTATTAGAGCATGGTGCAGATGCAAATGCCACTAGCAAGTTTGATAAAACTCCGATAAGTCTTGCATTGGAACATGACAGATTAGATTTGGTAGATATATTGCAACAAGAAAGAGAAATTGTTGGTGTTAGAGCTCATCAACAGAATCAAGCGAATTCAGCGGAACTCGAAGTGGCAACTCATAATTTAATACATTTAGAATCTGAAAAAGATGAAGAAGACCAAAAATTTGAATTGTTGCAACAACAAACGCAACCAAGAGGAAAGATTACTCATGGTATTTTACTTGATTATAAAAATTATTATTCGAAATATTTTCATTAAAAAACATTAACTAATTTTCATTAAACGTTCAAGTAGGGAAGAAATCTCGGATGCTTTTCCAACAAATTCATGTTGGACCAAACACTAACGACGACCAAGACAAAGGGATCGAAGATGTGGATGAAATTCCTAATGGAAATAACACTAATAGCATTAAGAAACGTAAAGACGTTACAGCTGTTGGAGGAGTGAACAAGCAGTTTAGGTTATTAGAAGCTCATGGGATCACAATGATACCTGTAGATAATGACTCTTCAATTGTGGAGAACGCTATGGAAAGTGGAAGAACAGTTGTTTTGACTGGTACAAAATATTTCAAAATCAAGCAGAGCTTATTGAATTCGCTTTTATTACTGTTGACGAAATATTTTTGCAGAAGCTGGTAAGCTTGCTTTAAATTTAACCAGAAACTCTTCGATAGGAGTGAAACGACTTCAGGCAGCTGGGAAGAAATCTCCAAGAAAAGTGATAGCGATTAGAGCAGATCAAATTTTAAATCATACCACACCCATGCTTCCTTCTAGAGGACCGAATATATTGAAAAGATCTTCTGTAGATAATAAAGCTGGCAAATTATTCATTTCATCTATTTCTAATACTACACCCGTATCGACACTCACACAGTCCAAAAACATCGTTTCTTCGCCAGAGGTACGAAAATTCTTCTTTACGAAGTTTCTTCTTTAAGTAAATAATAGCGTATCATATTTGATGCATTTTTATTTTATAATTTCGACAGAGCAAGGTCGTCGGTACACCAACAAAAATCACGGAGCCAATAATTTTGCAATTAGACGATGATATAGAAGAAATTATCGAAGACGATAATACAGATAATAACGAACCAGTAATGGATATTGCTCTTTTGAATAGACAATTAGCGGAAGCACGAAGACAAGCAGCCGAATATCGTAAACGGCTTCAAAAGAAAGAACAAGAGGCAGAAATTTATAAACAACAACTGAAAACCATTACAGCGCAAAGATCAGCCAAGTGATTCTGTAGCATTATCAATTTTGCATTAAGCTTCATTTTATGAGTAGCCCTGCTTTTTCTACAAAGGAATTTTTTTTTTTACATATACAGTTCTTCAATCTTACTGAGGAGTTCAGTTGAAAATTGTATCTCTATACTACAAGATGTTTTTACTTCAGTCTCTCATTGCATAGCATTATAATAGTACTTACGCAAGCTTTTCATCACTAACTGCTTACATTTTTGTAAAATATATCATAAAGAATCTGTGAGATTCTTCGGTTTTTCATTTTACAGGTCACAATTCTATGTTATTTAATACATGCGTGCTTTATAAAAGCAGCATAGAATATATACATACACACAGAGATACATACACACATTTATATATATATATATATATATATACATATATATATATATATGTATATATATAATTAAGTCTGACTTATATAGCAAAAAATGTTTTTCTAAAGATGTATGTAAGCACACAAGACGTTTCTTTGCTTTCCACATGATATCTCGCAGTGAATTGTAACGGAATTCCCTTTTATATGCAGTATCGCTAGTTTCGAAATAATTCTAATTGAATTTTCTGCGCCAAAACGATTGGACGTTGATGCGTAAACATGTTACACGATTTTAATACTTACTATTTAAATACTTCTGTTATGAAATACTATTAACGAGCAGTAGTTACTAAAACACTGTATAAAATTTTCATACTGAACATACGTTGCAACATCTTAATACAAAAGAGAAGAAAAAAAAAATATATAATGAAGTAAGTAATAGAAATAGACGGATATGTATTTTTAAATTGTATATGATCTATTTTGTACATAGTAAATTTTTATATACATCATAAGGTTACGTAACTATTAAAAAAATGATTATGAAGTATTGATAAACAACTAGAATTACACGAAAAAGAGAAGTAACTAAACAAATAAAGAATTTCTATAAAGGTTTTCAAATTCTATGATCGATAAAACTTATAAAAGTAATAAATGTTTCCTAACTGTTTATATTTTGAAGAAGAAAGAAAACGTTAATGAAATTTGGTGGAAAAGTTTATTGTGAGATGCGAAGGGTTCAGGAGTTGTAAAATATTGTATTGATCATAACGTAATCAGTTTTCCATTGCGCCGGTGAGAAGAGAAAAAAAAGAAAAAAAGAAGATATTTTTTTATGAACCGAACGTCCGAGACGCGAAATGTGGAAAGCAAATGATTGAATTGAATGAACCTTGCAGCAGTGTAAAATAAAAATTGTTTTAGAAAGACAGATCGTGCGTTGTTTAGATACTGTTGTCACGCTTCGTATAATTACATACGAACGAGTTCATTTCATTCCAAATATCTTTCGAACGATCCTGAAAACGCATAAACTAATAATTCATAATGTGTTGTGAACAAATAACTGGCAGGTCCCTTTGTTTTTTTTATCTAACAGCATGTATGGTGCTATGTACTCGAACAGAACTCTCTATATTTAAACTCCTAGTTTAAGGACACGAAAGGAACATGTATAGCAAAAGAATCAAAGAGAAAGAAAGTAGTCTACTCAGGTAAAAGTGCTGCAGTGTATAAAGTATGAAAGGGAATTGAAAAGTATCGAACATCATCAAACGCAACCAATAACATAATACTAAGACTTTTTCTAGTAATATAAATTGTAAATACAAACATTTATACATACGCTAATAGAACTTGTTAAATGCAAAGTTAGAAAACTTTCATTCAAAAATAAACATTTTATATTTCACGAGTTATGTACATTATTATACCGTTTAATATCGAACAGACGTTCTCGAAAGTCTCGCTTAAATATCATACATTTGAATCTCAATTTTCCGAACTTCCGTTATTCGATCTATTACCTGTACATTATATATTTGTGCACAATTCAATATGAACGAGAAACCATAATTGTTAAGTGAAAACTGTGTGCCAAAAAATTAAGAAAAAAGAAAAAGGAACGCCCCTTTGATTCTCGAGTACACGAGAGGACTTTGCAATTTAATAGGAAGTTAAAGAGAAGTCCAAAACGTCACGCAATAGTTATTTAGCTAAACATTGAATGATATTAGGTGATACCGTAGAATAAAGAAAAATTTTCAGGGAAAATCAATGAAACTCATGAGTTTCTAATCGAAGAAGGTTAAGTATCCTCTATCTTTTCAGTTTGGATAATCGAGGTTCCACTGTACTTCCCATCGATTTCTCCCTACGAATGTACTTAATAGACTCACGTAGTACACATCGAATGATCCGCCAGCCTACAGAACTCGTGTACCGTTTAGGTAATTTAATCACGTCCAACGTGCAATTGATTACTCTTAAATACCGATAAAGTTAACAACAGGAAAAAAAACGTAACGACTAAAATCTACGAACAATCGATTTCTCGAATTCGACGGAGTAGAAGGAATATCGGTAACCTTGGCGAAAATATATCCCGCGCTATCGATTTGAAACGGATTTGCGGCAGCACCGTCTACCACGAAAACTTTCATATTTTAAAAACTTTGCTTATCGATCGGTTCGATGGATTTCCGTTTCGTCTCCCCTCGAATGTCAGCGAGGCTTCGCCACGAAATTAACGGATAATCGTACGGGTCGATAGGGGTTGCGAATAATTTCAAAGATGCGAGAAAATATTGTTTCGCTTGCTGCGAACACAATGATGTCGACAAAGAGTCTGTATGCTGCATATAGGTATACACAGGTTCGCTCGTGTTTCTGGCCGTCGCGATCGATCGCAACAGTCGCACAATCTCGGCCTGCCGCGAAACGTCTCCGTGTTTACCGTGTTTGATGTATAGCAACGTAGAATAGGTGGCTGTGTTCCAGCCCGTCGTAAACGGTGTGAAAATTGGAACGGTGGACACTCTGTACGTGTCTACGTGCGGTCCGTTGGTCTACGCTGGTTTCTTTTCGGTAATTCGTAACGATCGCGAGTGTCCTCGGGGACGGTAAGGTTGGCGAACAAAATATTCGTATACACTATACCTGGCCCTGATCGATCGAATCGTTGCCCCCGCTATTTGAAGTCCCACGGAACTACGCAGAACTACGTCATTGAGCGAGAGCGTCGCTCGGGAGAGCCTTGAAAGTCTTGAAACGTGCGCTCGACAACGTTCCGTCATGAACTTTTCGCGCTCTTTCGATACAATCGAAATTGAAAGCCAGATCGAACAAACTTTATGGATCATCCGTTGGCACTAATGAATCGGTCTTCCGGCGGGGATTTCGAGTTGAATAAATTTTCGAATGATAGCATTTCGATAGGTTGGTTTAACTGATATTCGATATACGATAAGAAAAATTAGAAAAGATGACGTACTAAATTTTGAAATATTCGAATTTGTAGTTGATATGAAACAAGGCTTATTGTTTTTATTTAGTATGAGTGAAAGATAATTTATGGCAATAAAGGACTTTTATTGTAAACAGCATTGAAAGTTTGTCTCAAGTAAATTTGATACGTAACACTGTTTTAGGGATAGTGAATTTAACTTAACGATCTTCTTATACTTATTGCCAATGTTACTCTCAAGTAACAACACAATTAATTAGATATGAATCAGATATAGTTACAAATTGTTCGGGATACCAAGCAAAGAGTAATGCTTGGACTAATGTACAGGACTTTATGAGAATGACATAAGCGAGGTAACTGAGAATGTAGAATTTAAAAGACAGCTTTGACACATTCGAATACCTTACACGAATAGATGTTACTAAGAAGTAAAGCAAAAACATTGGAAATAAATAGTTTACCATACGAAATCAATCAACTCACAGAAATAACTTACAGTTTGCAAAACTGCTTCGCAGTAGCCTTACAATGTGACACAAGCGTACTTGGAATTGGATGTTCATTTCAAACAATAATAATTATAAACATAGTTTAACCCTTTATGCCTCGAGGCATTCAACTGCTACTGCTACATACAAAAATTCCCAAATTTGTTCAATTGCATTTAATACGGTCCAAAATGACAGTACACAGATTTATGTCTGAACAATTGTAAAATGCATTTATAATTAGCACATGTGTTATTTAAACCGCGTTGAAACGTCTGAAACGGAACTAACAAGAGTACAAGTGAAGACAGCATAACTTAGATTTAGAGCATAAAGGGTTAAAGGTTTGCAGGTGATCGGGAGCGACGTCGGACGGCAGGTTGAGAACCCCCTAAATGTTTCGTAGCCCGGACCCGAAGGCGATGTCCAGTGCGCCACGGTGCAAGGAAGGGGGACCGTTTTCGTTGTGTTGTGGTCGCGTGGTAATCATTATTTCTCCGGATACAGCCAGTGATTCGAGAGCAACAACGATTCCCGTCGACGGAACAGCGAGGTACAAGTAACGTGTCCAGAGAACGCGATACCCCGTGATTACGTGCATCGTTATTATTGCGGGCGAAGGTGCGCGCGCGCGCGCGCTCCCCGCGCGTGCACACACTACACATCACCGAGGAGAGACAGACACACATAATATATACACACATCGTCGTATATTATACTCGAGAGGCGCAACGATCTCCGCTTGGCTGTGTCGGTGTGTTTGCGGTCGAGCACCGTGATATGTGGAAAAGTGCGAAGTGAACGAGAAGGGGAGAGAGAAGAGGAGAGGAGAGAAAGAGAGCGAGCGAGCGAGCGAGAAACCATTCGTTTTCTTGAATCGTCGGGGAACAATAGCAACAACAAAGTGGGGAAGTTGCGTGGAGAGAAGAAAAACAAGGTTCGCGCGGTCCACGGTTGTTTCCCTCGCTGCCCGTTTCCCGAGTTGGCCCGTTTCTCGGTTTTCCGATCTGGTGTTTCAGTGACGCGCGCGCGCGTGTGTATCACGCTCATTCGTGTGTTCGCGCTTGTGGTCTCCCTCGATGCGGGTGTGAGCGAGCGTCAGGTAGAGAGAAACATTGAAAAGTATATATATCGGCGGAGCGCGAGGCAAGGAGAAGCGGGAAGCGGCGTCGGAACGTTCGTTAAAGGCCGGCGTTTCGTCGCTTCCCGACCGTGTTCGACGTTTTTCTGAACCGTACACGAGTCCCGCAGTCGCTCGGCCTCGAGCAGCGGAGGCGGTTTTACGAAAATGCGATACGAGTTGTTAGGCCGCCTAGCGTAGTGTATCGCCTAGCGGCGACGGGCCCAGAGAGAAGCGGCGGAAAAATGGCGTCCGATAACGAAGCCTCTTGCGCGAGTGACCCAAATTTCGCTGTGATCTGCTCGTTCCTCGAGTGCTTTGGCAAGCCCTGTGGCATCGTTTATCCGGATATTGCACGCCTTCAAGAGATGCTCGAGAATACACAGGATGGTGAGTAAACTCGAGCCTGCATACGTATATGCGTACGAAAGGGAGCGAGAGAGTGAGAGAGAATGACTGACCCGCCCCCGCGAGGCCAAAAGTCTCGCATCTGATATTATCGTTTTTCTATCCGCGTTTCGAACCTATTCCCCTGCTCATCGTCTTTCCTCGTTATTCCCAGTTCTGCTAGCTTTACGGATCGTTCGCCACCGATTCTCTATCAACAGAGTAAACACGCTACTGGTAACTCTGTTTTTATCCCTTTTTGCTTTCAGCGGAATTTTAGTCATGGTTTCTCACTGATTTCCCTCGTCTTTTATTTCTTTCTACTCTCCGTCCGTGTTGATTCGGCCGACGATACTGGACCAACGATTTTTAATCATTCCTAGCAGTTACGATTCATCGATACGTTTCAATAATATTATTGACAGGCAGGTTCGATTTGCTCTCTCTCGTCTGTTGTTATTTTCTCTCGTGCTGCCACCTCCCTTGTTGTCAACGTCGGTTACACGTGATTGCCAGTTATGAATCGCGCGGCGATCTTTCAAATGTACACCGTAAAGACAAAACTCATTCATACGGCGGTCGTCGTTTGATTTTTCTTGACAATATCATTTTACGAGAAATGATTGATTTGTTGGGAACGCGCGTGAAAGTCAATTAGCGCGGGCGATATTTATTTGTCGCGCCAAGTGTATTATTAATGGTAGGTTGATAAACAATCCAATCCACATAAAAAATCCCATAAGAATTTATATACGTTTTTAGATTCTTTATAAATCATTTCAGCATTATGATGTTATTTTTCTTTTTGAAGTGTTTTATTGTCATTTATTTTTTAGGAAACTAATACAAGTTTTACAAAGAATCGATTATTTAACTACTTGTATTTGAATGTGTATTTTTTTTTTCACTACAATTAATTGTTTTTATTGTAGTACCGCAACAATTGATAGATCTACACATCAAATTGTTACGCAAAACGCGTAAAACAGTATCACCAGAAAAGTGGGAACGAGCATTGGTTAAATTTTGCCATACGTATTCTAATCAGGATGGATGGGAGCTTGAACGTTTTGGTTACAAGAAAGCCCGCATTGCTGTCAAGCTACGTTTACTCAAAGTATAAACTAAATGAATTAACTACATTTTATAAAAATAAGGATAAATGAAGTTTAAATTTATACTTGCAAAAATCTAACGACTTCAGTCTGTTCTACATGGAAAGCCTTTATTATTACAGGTTCTTTTGGAGACACAATTTGACTTAAATCAAAAGTTTAAAAATGAAGTGAATAAATTGGCAGCTAATGAATTACGTGTGGAACCATTGGGCAGAGATAAATCTGGTTTGGCATATTGGTGTCAGCTCGACGAAGAGTGCAATATAAGGGTTTATAGGGAAGATTTAGATGAAGAAAATTGGGAACTTGTAGCTAAGTAAGTTTTCAGTTAGCACATATTCTATGTTTCGAACAACTTATAAATACATTTTAATGTAAATGCTTAGTTAATGTTTTGTTAATACCAGGGACAGAGAGGGTGTTGTAAGTCTTATAAACACCTTGTCGAATGGTGAGATTGCAGCTATTCCAATCAATGAAGATAGTAATAGTCTAGAAATTTCTGAGAAACCCATTATTGATACGGGGCAAATAACAACATCTCCAAGTTTGGAAGATGAAACTGTGCAAGAGAATGGTGTTCACATTGAAGGTACGGAAGAAAAGGAACTAGAAAAGAACAAAGGTGAAGATTGTGAAGATGAAAGACAGCAAAGTAATGCTAATGAAGCCAATCGTGTTGAGGAAGAAATGGATGCAGAGGATGAAATAACGAACGATGACAGTTCAAAACAAAATACAGAAGAAGATGATTCTCAGGAAACAATACAAAATCAAGTAGTAGAACCGAATTTTGTTCAAACACCTTCCTTAGTATCGGTATCGCCTTTGAAAGTTGTTAATGGCAAAGTTGGTGCACTATTGGAAAAAGAAACAACTGCAACTCGAGAAAAGGAGATGAATATACCTCAAGAAACTGCAGTTACTCTTACTGTGACTAATACTAAATCGGAAGAACACATGGCAGTATGTAGTTCTAAAACTGATGAAGAAGAGTTAATGCCTCTTAAATCAATTGAAACACCTGTTATTACTTCCCCTCTTAAATTGGTAAATGTTGTTGAAATGAAACAATTGCACGAAGAGAAGTTGACTGTTGGGCCAACTCTAACAGGTACAGCGCTAAATGTGAAGAAACACGAAGATTTAATGGAACAAATCATGAAACCAACACTTGATAAGTTGCCTAGTAAAAATAATCTTTCTTATCCATCGACAGATATGCCAACGACGCATAGTAAATTGTCCGTTAAACCAATCGATCAATTGGCTGCAAATCTCGTAAGGATACAATCGGAGAAGCTTGAAAAGCCAAGCGGCGCGAAATCTTTAGAAAAAATAGCTGAAAATTTGGCAAGATCAGGGAGTATTGTGGGGAACACAATAAACGGAGATGACGACAGATTGCCACAAGACTTTTGTGCGAGAAGTCAATCGGAGAAAGCTAATGTACTAAGAGGACATAGGGGTATGGATTTGTCTACATTGCCTAGAGGTTGGGAAGGTGCTAATGAACAAAATAGGCCAATGGATTTCTCTGGAATAGATTTATCTAGTCGAAAATTTAATAAAAGCTTGGATTTACCCTCTCCCGGGTATAGAACGCAAGATTTTCAGCATAGAGAAATGGACCTTAGTACGAAAAAGTTAAATAAACCAGAGGTTACAAATTTACCGTACGATGCTCGGGCTGTAATGATGCGCAATCATGCGATGGTAGCGGACTTGAGTAAAAGGCAGATGTCATTTCCTAGTTACGAAATGGCATCCACGCCGTACCATAATACCGCGAGACTACCAACGAAAGAAGACCATAGGTTACCAAATTACACGATACTTCCAGATCCAAGTAAAATAACATCGTTGAGGATGAGTGCAACACCAGTGAAACGCTCCTTAGAAGGGAACGATATACAACAGGATATGTTGAAGAGAATAAGAGCTGACGTGATACCGATCAGAGGGTCTATGGATAAGAGATCGCTTATCGGTGCAAACTGGAGAGACGAGGTTGGTGAAGCTATAGAAGAACCGATGATGATGATTCAAGGTGAAGGATCCGGCAGCGATTGCGATGCCGTGAACCCTGGTCTTGGCGAAGCCGTAGAAGAACCTATCATTTTTTTTTACGGAGAAGGATCCGGTGAAGAGTGTCAGACAGGCAATCCTGGCGAAGACGCATCAGCTGACAATAAAGAAAGCAACGAATCAAAAAACGAAGCTGACTCGGCTACTTCGTCTTTGTCACCGAATAAAACTTTGACCGAGGACAGTCTCGTAAACGAAGTATCTCCTAGTTCGCTAGTAACGACTAAAAGTACCATAAAATTGAATAGAAACTTTCCCCAGTCTAGCGATACTGTAAAGAGTAATTGTCAGGTTGTAGGCTCTACGCAAGAGAAGCCAAAGTTCAAACCAACGCTAGGCATTCAAATTATACCTAAGAACACCAGCAGCTCTGTGAAGAGGATATCGCGGTGGGACGTGGGGAAGCCAGGCGAAAAAACAGAGTGCGACAGTAGTATCATATCAAATGAAAAAGACATATCATCGAAGAAGAATGAAGCTGAATGCGAGGATTCGACTAGCGGAAAGCAAGACGTTAAAGTAGACGGGAACTCTGTAAATAACGAGCACGCAAGATTGCAGGAGAGAAGTCTAGAAGTGATGCATTCTGAAGAAGACACCGGGAATAATTCTGGAGAACAAAAGCAAAATGCGTCGATCCAAGATGCTATTCAATGCGACTCGTCTATATCCTTATGTCAAGCGGATACTTCAGAAGTTCTTGATTCGTGTACAGAAGCGACACCTTCGACACATTCGATAAACGATAAAGAAGTTTTACAAAACATTTGTGACTCTGACAGTGTGGTTTCACAGGAGACTGACACTTCAGAAAAAGTGGATAACGAATGTAAACCTACAACATCTCCACCGAGATTTTTTTTTGGACCTAATTGTATATCGTACACTTCAAGACCAGAACCATTTGAATCACAATCTGATCATATAGTTTCAACAACTATACAATCGAAGTCGGACACGTTGCAATACGAATGTGTCTCTTCCTCAAAACCTGTTGAAGATATGATTACTTCTTACAAGTCAGACGATTTTGACGTAACGCAAATGAATAATAATTCATTGAAGGTTAAATCGTACACATCTGAATCCGACAATTCGCTATGCGAGGATGATAACAAGAGCAAAATGGAATTAGTTGAAGAACCAACTAATACATGGGAACAATCGGTTTCTTCAAAATATTCGGTAGAAGAACAACACTGTGTAGTATCAAAGATAGAGGCAAATTTCTCTAAATCTGAATCAAAGTCAAAACCAGAAGATAATTTAAAGTCCTCTGTTAGCGATACTACACAAGATCCCATTTCTAGCAGTGCAAATGCAACAGATGAGTATATGAAACCTAAAAGAACAGAGGGGATAGATGCAATTTCACAACCTCATAGCACTAATGATATAAATAAAGATAACTCGGATACAAAACTCGAAAGTACAGTTGTCACACCATCTGCAATAGAACCTACTAATTCATCTATTGAATCAATGCAACACGAACCATTAGAAGATAAATGCAGTACATTTGTAGGACAATTACAAAATGAAAGAACAGACATTGAAAGTATCGCTAAAACTTCAGAAATTCCAATCTCTTGTTCAGAAGATAAAACTAAAAGTGTATCATCTGACTCAATAATCCATAAAGATGGTGAATTGAGAACAGATTCAGCATTTATTAATAATTCCTGTTCAAGTTCACAACCAGAAACAGACTATGATAATGATTGTTCCGAATCAAATCATGCGAGTAAAGTTAAGTGTTCCACTTATCAACAGGTGGATAGTTCAGCGAGTAGAGAAGTAGAACAGACTTCTGATAAAGAATCCGATTCGGCAAGTGAAAGGTGTAGTGAACAGAGTGAAAAAACTGATACTTTCTCAGAATATACTAACCAACAGGAACGGTCGATAGACAGTGATAAGAGAATGATGAAAAATCAAATTGATTCTGATGTAGATTCGGTCAGTTGTAATTATAATAAAAGCAGTGAACAAGCGGATGCCTTGCAGGAGACAAGCATGCAAGAGGAGATTTCAGGAAATTCTGAAAAAATGAAAGAGAATATGTTACTTGACTCGGTCATCAAAAACTCTGTGCCTGATGTTAACCCTGATTTAGATTTCACGGACAATTCAGCTGTTACTAGTTCAGAGTTAATCGAAGAATGTAACAAAGATGCGTTAGTTCCTACAATAAGTAGTTCGGATGATGCTTGCACGAAAAACACTTTATTACAAGAAAGTGATAAAGTGCAACTACATTCTGAGAAATCGTCCTTTAAAGATGAATATTCTATTTACAGTGTATTACCAGAGATAGTACCTGACACAAATAATTTTAAACCATCCAAATCCGATACTATTGAAAATATAAAAGAAATAAATTTATGTAACTTGGTTCAAACTGCGAATGAATCTAAGGATGCTGCATTGGAAAGCCAAAGTTCCTGTGCTGATCAACAATCGAATAAGAATACAGTTGTAAATGATAAATTGTTGGAATCTAATGAATCAACTGAAACTTCGACGTGCGATAAAAATACCTTATCCGAAATACATTCGTCTTCTGTTGAAGAAAGTAAAACTAATGCACTTAGTATCGTTGCCCAAGATGAAAATACGCGAAACCTCGGTTTTGCGAATGTTGACCCAAAGTCTTCTGATACCACGGTGGAATCCAAAAATTCAGAGAAGAATAACACAAATTATTGCAAAGTTGTTTCAAACTCCACTGAAGGGGACAATCTGGAAAATCAGAAACAAAAGTTAACAAGTGATGTCTCCGAAAATGTAACTATTTTGGAAAATGAGGACATTAAAAAATCAGAGGAAGCCGTATCTTTAACGAGTACAGAACCTGTGAATCCTCCAGAATCCGCAACGAAAGTTAAACAATCTTTAGTTGCAAATTATGAAAGCAGCGATTCCAATGATGGTAGTGACGATGTTTTCGAACCTGTTACAACTGAATCGCCTGAAACTGAAAATAATGTTTTCGGTAATTCAGAAGAAACTACGGTTGCTGACAAGGGAATGGAAAAAGAAAGTCAAGAAGAATCAACTTTGAAGGATGACACGACATCCAATGAAGTACAGAGCTCGTTCACTGACGATCAGCAGTCAGCATCGTTAATAGGAAAGGATACTGGAAAAATGATAAATGTTGAAACTGAATGCAAAAAGAAGGAAACAAATGATGAAAGAATCGATGAAAAAGAGCAAGATCGTGATGTTGTACAACACGATTTAAATAGTAAATCAGTCATATCAATAAATGAAAGCAAAAATGTAAATAGTTCAGAAGAGAACAATAGTTCAATGTTAACAAAAACTGATATGTCGTCAGCTTCGTCTGAGATGAATACTGAAGCTATATGGAATGAAATAAATAAAGAATGTATAAATTTAACGTTAACCAAATCGAACAATGTAATAAACACTGTAAAAATTACAGAAGAAAGCAACAGTTCGGTTTCTAATACAGAGAAAGTGGAAAACTTGGTTGTCGAGGAAAAAAGCAGTTCTGTAACAGTATGTCCTGTAAATGAAATTAAACCACCTGAACTAACGAAAGAAGTCAATCGGTCTAGCGAATCTAACGATGTCAACGATGAAGTAATCCATGTAAATTTAAAAGAACAATACTTAAAGCCTATGGAGGACAAATTGATAACAAATGTAGGTAATGATATTAAATTTTATAAGAACGAGGAAATGAAACATGTTGCAGAGGAACTTCAAACTGTGGATTCATGTAAAAAAATTAACGAATTATCAGACTTTATCGACAAAGAAAGAAAATCTGATACACATCTACACAATGAAAACCACTTAAATAAAGAAAAGGAAATCGATTCATCCGTTCACTCGATACCAAACACTTCACCATTGAAATTGGATAATATATCATCAAACATAGATAAAACAGAAATATGTAAGAATAGTATTCCAGCTATATCAGAAGAGTTCAAGCCTATGGACAATTTACAGTTTGTAAATTTTATACCCGAGAAGTCAGATAATTTGAATATTTTGGAAAACCATGAAAAATTTGGAGAACCTCTTCATCCTACGAATAAATCTATAGTTCCTCTTCCAGAGAGTTCTGTTTTGAAAGAGAACGAGAGCACTGCAATTTTTAATGTGCAAGAAGTAACACCAGAACTTGTTACAAAGTACGATTATAAAAAGGAAGCTAGTAAAAGATTGAACGATGTTACTGACGTTGAAGATGTTCCTCCATTAAAATCCAAACCTCCTTGTATAGACTCCAATGAACAAGTATTAGATAATTTAACAGTTTCTAAAGTGCAATTGGACAAAAGTGCGGACAGTTGTAATCAGGTGGACGCGCCAGTTAGTGAAATTAAAATAAGCGAGGATCCAGTTTCCAAAACCAGAGTTGCACAGCTAACGAAGGATGAATCTAATACAATTCCTGGTACAGCAGATAACACACCAACCGATGACCAAGAAAAGAGCAGCTGTAAAGACGAAGAGGGGAAAGGAAATTCAGAGATTCAGAGTATCGAAATCAAAACAATCTCTTTGGTATCGGATGACTCAATGGGTTTGGATAATGAGAATCTATTTAATACTGCTTCTGAAGAAGTTGATCCTTTAGCATGTACGGATGAAGATACTCCAAAAAAGTTAGATGAGAATGAACAGAACGACAGTGTCCCTCCTGTGCCTAAGATAGGTTTACGCGTTAAACCCGTTTCTGAACTCATTTATGACGGATGGAAATTAGATTCTACAGAGCCCACGAAGGTCTCCCGCAAAAGGCGGAACAGTTTTCACGAGTCCAACTCGGAGGATGGAGGGAAGCAGAAGAACGAGGAGGAAATAATGGGAAGTAAAAGGATAAAGCTACGCGCGAAACGTATACCGGACGAACAACTACGAAAATCTGTGGAGAACAGTCGCATCGTAACGATCAGTTCAGAAGACGAAGCTGTGAAATGTAGTCCCGAAAAAGTTGAAGAATTGGAAGTGAAAGACGGTAGCGACGATCAAAGTATTACTCACTCGGTTGTGATCGAACGGAAAGCGAGAGGACGTCCTAGAGGCAGACGAAGACGTGGTTACAGGGGGAACGCGCGTTCGACTCGCCCAAAGCATAATGAATTTCAAAGTAATCAGGTGTCAGAGGTATCGCCTGAGATTCAACTTGATGGGACAGCGACTACCAATGACTCTTTGAACTTGACACCAATTTCACAGAAAAAGCGAAAGAAAAGTAAGCCACCGTGTCATTTTTATTTGTATGAGGAACAATGTCATTTCTTGTACTTTATTTGAAAATATTCTTTACAGGAAAAATGGTGTTGGGCCTTGAGATTGGAAGAGACATTGCCGAAGAACAGTCAGGAGTAACCCAGAACGAGACACCGGTCAGACAGTCTAGGAGAATAGCACAATTGAAGATCAAAGAAGAAGCAGATAAACGAAGAATCGAGGAGGAGACTTTAAATGACAAGAAAGAGAAGAAAGACCCCACAGAGAAGAAGAAGCGGAAAAAGCAAAAAGTAAATTTAAATATTTCCTTATTGAAATGACGTCAACGTATTCTATGATACTTGTAATAATTTTCAGCCTGAAAGCGAGGAGGAAGTCGTGATCAAGGAAATAGAGAAAGAAAAAAAGTCGAAGAAGAAACGGAGAAAAAGAAAGAAGAAGAAAATGTTATCTAAATTTAATGAAGCTAATCCATGGCAAAGTTCCTCGGGTTCCAGTAGCGACGAAGAAATCGAAAATGACGAAGAGGAAGACGAAGAAGAGGAAATAGAGAGTGAAGGGTCATTGCTCTTCAAGAGCGACCATGAATTTTCACCAGAAAGTGACCTTGAAAAGGATCAGGAGTCCGAACCATTAAGAAGAGCTAGAACTGCCCAAAAAGGTATTTCACGTGATTAGAATGTTATCAACACTGCTAATCAACATGCTAATCTTAATCCTCATCTTTGTAATTTTAGCTCAGAGTGACGTTGAAGAAGCAGATGATGAATACGCTTGTCAAAAATGTGGCAAAGCAGATCATCCAGAATGGATATTGCTATGTGATTCTTGTGACAAAGGTTGGCACTGTTCTTGTCTAAGACCTGCTCTTATGCTCATACCTGAAGGTGATTGGTTCTGTCCTCCGTGTCAACATGTAAGTTAATTGTTCACAATGTGTTCAACCAATTTAAATAATAAAAAATTAATCATTGACATTTATTTCAGAATCTGTTAGTGACCAAATTACAAGAAAGTTTGAAAGCATATGATCAATTAGCGAAGCGCCACGAAAACGAAGTGTTAAGGAAGAAAAGATTAGCTTTCGTTGGTATAAGTTTGGATAATGTTCTTCATAAAAATGAAGCGCCACGCCAAAAAGAATCGAAGGCGTCTAGTCAAGAGTCTGACAATGGTATTGTATATTCTCTCAACGATTTTATATTAAAGATTTCTTGTTTTCTTATTGTAAATTACCAAAATACATGAAAACATTTTCAGAATCAACGACTGCTTCCTCTTCCTCGAGTTCAGAAACATCGTCCAGCGAAGAGAGTGAACCTGTATACCAATTACGCGAAAGGCGATCAGCTAATAGATATAAATTCAACGATTACGACGCTATGATTAACGCTGCCATTCAGGATGAGGTGGAAGCGGTTCAGGGTGCCGGGAACCAAGGAAGAGGGAAAGATATAGCGACTATAGTAAATGCGAAGAAAGAGGAAGCAGAGGTAAATTAATTAATCGTGTACTTTAACACGACTCCTCAGTTTTCACGTTTAATTGGTACCTTTAACGAAAACTCTTGTGCAGCTTCACTTCAAAAATGAGGAATTAAACATGGAGGAGGCGCAAGAGAGTAAAAATAATATAGATAAAAAATCAGAGAAAGACAGCGACGAGGAATATAAAATGGAGGCAGAGGACGGCATGGAGGACGAAGAAGAGGAGCACAAAGGAGGAGTGAAGAAATTTTTATCGCGTAAGAAACACAGGAAATTGAACAGTCTCGACATAAGCAGCGAAGACGATCCAGAAAGCGACGAGGACTTTAAGGGGACGAGTTCAGAGGAGGAAGAGGATTTCGATGATCATTTAACCTCCTCCGACGAGAGTACTTTTGCTGATGTGAAACGACGCGGTAAAAAGGGGGATTCCAGGTCAGTTCGTAGAAGCACGAGGGCCAGAACTATGCGCTACGAAGAAGATTTCAGTAAGTGTAATGAAACGATTTAAAGCTGACTATTACATAGAATAGAAAATTATGAATAACAAATTGTTCACAGTAAACGATGATAGCGAGGAAAGCGATAGACCGAAGAGGAAGAAATCTCGATCCACTTGGGACTCCGATAACGAAGACAGCGACAACTCGTGGCGGCAGAGAAAGAAAAAGTAAGACACCGTTATTGTTATCTGGTCGAATTATCAGCTGAACTTTTTGTAACTTCATTTCAGAAGTAGAACCATATCAACATCTAGATACAGAGCATTGCCAAAAACGAAAAGTAGAAAGAAAAAAAAGAGAAAACGTATCATCGAGTCTGATAATCAAAGTGATAATGAGGATTCAAACGAGGAGGTGGCGATAAAACCGCAGTCACAGCTAGAGAATATAAAACCTATAGTGACCGAAGAAGCGTTGGACGTCAAACTTGGGAATGTAAATGAGAATAATGAAAATCTGGACATAAATGAAGCGAAAGATGAAAAGTTGGAGGGTATGAATACTGAAATATCTGAAATACCGACGATTCTGCCAGCGACAGAAGTTACGCAACAAAAGAAAAAAAGGGTAAGTATACATTTATTATTGAATTCTATTCTCTTATTTATTGAATTTTTATTTATTTTAGGAAAACACGATGAAACCAAAGAAAACTCCAATGATCCGTAGAAAGGTACGTATGCCATTATGTCTGTTCAATAATGTATTTCAATTTTATGTACCTGTGTTCTCAATTAATACTTTCAGATCATTTACGGCGGACTTCCAGACGAAAACAAACCGGAAGAGGAGGAAATTTTAGGCAGACGAACTCGAGGGAGGAAAATTAATTATCAAGAGGAAATAGCATCGGATAGCGAAGAGGTAATAAATCAATCGTCAAATATAGAAAGGAAAGGTTTTGAAAACTATTATACATCTCTTCCGATTTTAAAGGAATTAAAAAAGGCACTAAGGAGAACTGGAGAAAGCGAAGATGAATTCGTTGTGAACGAAGGTGAAGATGTAAACGACGACATTGAGAAAGATTCTGATTCAGGTAACTTTGGAAACTTTGGAAACAAAGTGTTTGAACTTTGAATGCTAATTAATTTTAAACGCGTTCGTTTATAGGAGACATATATAATCCAAAAAAAGATGGTCATAAGCTAAAAAACAAATCGCCAAAAACCAGGAAACCAAGGAAAAGCAAAAGTCCCGGAGGTAAACGGAAAACGATGAACGATGGGACGCCGAAACAAAGAAAAAAACCTGGCCCCAAACCTGGTAGTAAGAACAAGGCACGAAAGCAAAGTTTTCTGGTCGGTTCAGTAATTCAAAGACGGGAAGACCCAGACGGGGAGAAAGATCTCATGGTTAACGTTATGGACAATCCCATAGCAGATATAGATTCTAAAATAGACGACAATCTCTCGGAGAACGTCGGATTGTCTGCTACCACAATGTCGGTGGCAGGTTCTTTTAGCGGCGATGTTCCAGAAGGATCTTTGACAGGTCTCGGTCCCGGTGAATTGGCTGACTTAGATGACGAGCAACTGGAACAAATGATGATGGAGGACGAAGAATACGGTCGAAGACAGTTAGAGCTTGCAGCCATTGAAATAGCGAAAAAAAAGAAGAAAGAAGAACGCGAAGCCAAGAAATTGGAGAAGGCACGTCTAAAGGCGTTAGAAATATTAGCTGCCGAGAGGCAACGAGATCCTAATGCGCCAGAGGGTACCGACGGGGAGATACCGAAAAAGAAGAAAAGGGGCCGCCGCAGTAAAGCCGAGATCCTCGCCGAACAAATGCGCAGAGATGGTGCTCCCAATTTGAACACTACCGTTCTACCCACCACTTTACCTACCACTTTACCGACTAGTTTGCCTACCAGTTTACCAACCAGTTTACCCACCAGTTTATCTACCAGTTTACCAACTAGTTTGCCACAGAACGTAACGAGCAATATGTCACCCACCATGGTATCCAGTATGTCAACGATTATGACGCCCGAGGCAGAGAGATCTAGCGAAGGACACATTCCAATGATGACAGGACCGGACGGGCAACTTTTCAATCCTGACGGGTCCCCAATGAAACCTAAACGAAGAGGGCGTGGTAAGGGCAAAAAGACTCTAGCTTTGGAGGCAGCTAGAGCCGCAGAGGCAGCAGCCAAGGCTGCTGCCGAAGCTGGTCTAATTGGCATAGGCACCGACTCGAATCCGGAGATCAAACCTGGCGATATACCAAATGTACTTCCTACACCAGGTAGCAGCACTTCTGGCTCGGCACCGTCCACACCGCCCGCCGGCGTAGTCACGACGCAGGGGCCGCCCGCTTCTCAAACTCCAACCACGCAACCTGTCTACCCGTCGTTACCGCCGAACAATCAGCAACAGTCTTCCGTTATCACCAGAATGCTTCAGTCTCAGCCCGTGTCGAGCAGTCCGCAGTCGTTCTCCGCCGCAGCCGCGGCGATGGGACACAAGTACTTTGGCGGGCCGAACGCTGGAGGACAGATATTGGGCGGTCCTAGAACGGGTTACGATATGCAGCCACGCGGAAGAATCCCTTCGCCGTACAGGCAGAGCGGCCAGACTTCTATGCCGCCCCATTTCGCAGCTGTAAGAACGGGGACTCCGCCCATGAGGATGAGGGTGCCCGGTCCGCAGATGTATCACACGCCTCACCATCCCATGGACCCGTCTCCATCCGGCGGTGGGCCTATATCGATCAATAACAGGGACCGCAGCTCTCCGCTCGGACCCGGGCCGGCGATGATTCCTCCGGCCGCCGGAAGTCCTCTAGCCAAAGGAGGCGGTCCCACGCCTCCGCCGCCCCCTCCTTACGTCAGAGGGCCTCCTCCGTTGTCCAGGTTCGCGGACAATCCCATGGGTCCCAGGCATCAGATGCCACCCTTCACGAACGCTTCGCCGGTCAACCATAATATGCAGCAACCCTCCCCGCCGCCGAATCGACCCCCCGGCAACTTCTCGCCGTATCATCCACCGCCTCCTCCGAATTACCATTACGGT